GCTTAAAATAGAAAGTTCGTGAAAATTTAATAGGATATATGGGTTTAGTTTTATTCGTCTTTTCATTGTTAATACATAGAAAAAAAATCATCTCAATTAGAATTAAAACGAAAAAGTTATATCATTTTTAAGAATAGAAAAAATACTGTTCATTAACTTGAGTTCGAGTTTCTGAACTCGAGTTGAAGGGGAAACTTGAACTCGAGTTTTAGTTCCAAACTCAAGTTCAAACTCAAGTTCAAACTTAAAAGAACATGAACTCGAATAAAATTATAACTCGAGTTACCTTTTTTTAAGTTTTTCACTCAAAAACCACTCTGCAGAACAAGGCCTTTTTTTTTTATCACAACTCAAATCTATATAATATTTTTAGCCTTATATTTGATCAATTTAAGCCGCAATCACAAGTAAGGCACTTTGTTGTCTGGAAATCATCATCCAACCTCATATTCATATTGAATATATCACTTCGCAACAACAATGAGAAGATTACTGAAAAAAAAAAAAAAAAAAAAAACAAGAACTAAAATCTATTGAAACAGTTTGTTTTGTCCAATTACAAGCCCACATCTTTCTAGCAAAAATAAAAAAGAAAAAAGAAAAGAAAAGAAAAACCTATAACCCACGTTCTTAAGAAAATATATATGCCTCCAGTAATTATCCTTGTCTTAAGAAGTATAAAGTCTTGAGTAAACACTTTTATCTTTTTTTATTGAAATAAAGGAAGTGTAACCTTGTAAATAATGAATGGAAAAAAAAAAAGGTAATATTTTTGTTAATAACTGAGGCATAAAAGGTGTGATTTTGACCTTAAAAAGAGAAGAGAGAGAAAGAGAAATGGCAATGATGTAAATATGGTTAAAAGAAGTGGGCTATGTGTATTTGGTTGAGAAAATCAAGATGACACATGTTAAAATAATAGTCTATAAAAGAGTATGTAATAGAGTCTTTGGCCCGTTTAGTTCGTTGATTTAAATTTTTAATTCGAGTTAAGATATGATTTTATGTGAGAATTTTTTACTATAGTAAAAAAGTTAAATGTGGCTATTTCTGAGAATTTTTACTGTAACAAAATTCAAATTCTAAACTCAAATCAACGAAATAAACGAGGCATCCATTTAGCACTCATCTTCACATAAAAATTCGGGGAGCAGACACTTGCAATGAGATTGATTGATAAAATATACATACATAGATATGGAACTACTTATACAAGAGCTTAAAATAGAAAGTTCGTGAAAATTTAATAGGATATATGGGTTTAGTTTTATTCGTCTTTTCATTGTTAATACATAGAAAAAAAATCATCTCAATTAGAATTAAAACGAAAAAGTTATATCATTTTTAAGAATAGAAAAAATACTGTTCATTAACTTGAGTTCGAGTTTCTGAACTCGAGTTGAAGGGGAAACTTGAACTCGAGTTTTAGTTCCAAACTCAAGTTCAAACTCAAGTTCAAACTTAAAAGAACATGAACTCGAATAAAATTATAACTCGAGTTACCTTTTTTTAAGTTTTTCACTCAAAAACCACTCTGCAGAACAAGGCCTTTTTTTTTTATCACAACTCAAATCTATATAATATTTTTAGCCTTATATTTGATCAATTTAAGCCGCAATCACAAGTAAGGCACTTTGTTGTCTGGAAATCATCATCCAACCTCATATTCATATTGAATATATCACGTTGTAGGCAAAGGAAATTCGCAACAACAATAAGAAGAGTACTGAAATGAAAAAAAAAAAAAAAAAAAAAAAAAAAATATTGAAACAGTTTGTTTTGTCCAATTACAAGCCCACATCTTTCTAGCAAAAATAAAAAGGAAAAAGAAAAGAAAAGAAAAACCTATAACCCACGTTCTTAAGAAAATATATATGCCTCCAGTAATTATCCTTGTCTTAAGAAGTATAAAGTCTTGAGTAAACACTTTTATCTTTTTTTATTGAAATAAAGGAAGTGTAACCTTGTAAATAATGAATGGAAAAAAAAAAAGGTAATATTTTTGTTAATAACTGAGGCATAAAAGGTGTGATTTTGACCTTAAAAAGAGAAGAGAGAGAAAGAGAAATGGCAATGATGTAAATATGGTTAAAAGAAGTGGGCTATGTGTATTTGGTTGAGAAAATCAAGATGACACATGTTAAAATAATAGTCTATAAAAGAGTATGTAATAGAGTCTCTGGCCCGTTTAGTTCGTTGATTTAAATTTTTAATTCGAGTTAAGATATGATTTTATGTGAGAATTTTTTACTATAGTAAAAAAGTTAAATGTGGCTATTTCTGAGAATTTTTACTGTAACAAAATTCAAATTCTAAACTCAAATCAACGAAATAAACGAGGCATCCATTTAGCACTCATCTTCACATAAAAATTCGGGGAGCAGACACTTGCAATGAGATTGATTGATAAAATATACATACATAGATATGGAACTACTTATACAAGAGCTTAAAATAGAAAGTTAGTGAAAATTAATTTTCATATTTCAACGTTTCATCTTTCATGTATAATTTAGGTGTAGAACATAATATCTATATATATAATATATATATATATATATCTGTGTGTGTAGACTGTATATGGAGGGAGAATTAAAATCAAGGATAACATAGTATGATGAGAGGTATCCAAAATTAGAATTCTCTGCTCTGATATTTAACATGTTCACCATTTAAGGTTATATTCTTGTTAACGCTGAGAAAATAATTGGAAGCACCAAAATCAAAATGGATGTTGGAGACAAAGCACTCATGCAATCAGCAATCTTTTGTCTCTTTTTTAGTGATACGGGCTAATATTGATTCTAGTAAGGCTATATACAATAAGAATCTTTGGTTCTAGGAAATAAACAACTAAACAAAATAGGTATAAAATATTTTTTATATCCTCCATATCTTTGGTGCTTGATGAGCAACAACCTCAAAGCATTCTCTTTTCACATAAATAAAATAAATAAATAAAAATTAGTGGAAAAGTAGATGATGTCAAGGTCGCAGAGAATAAATACAACTTGGTCCACTCAACAAAGTAATCAGAAACAAAGCAATAACAAAAAACAAATGGTCCAAAAGGAGTTGGATGCTTGCCTTTTTGTGTTGGGATGATAGGAGACTATTAGGAAACAACTAAGTGAGGTTTTGAGATCAAGTGGGGTCTTTGAGGCTTTTTCACAAACATAACAGATGCATCAAGTGTGGTTCAGGTTGGATCAAACTCAGACGGTTTCTGAGAGTGGTCCAAAACCACCCAAATTCTAAGAGTCCGTTTAGTACTTAAATTCATTTTCTGATTTAAATCATAGTTCGTAGTTCGTTACAGTATTTTCTCTCACAAAAAATACACGTAAATTAAAAATAATTTTAATCACATGGTTTGAATTCATGAACCAAACGCATCAAACGAAACCCATTTCTCTTTTCCACTTTTTCATTTGTGGGCAGATCAGAGGAAGAGATATTTCAACCAAAAACAAAAAACAAAAAAACAAGAACATATTATTGTGCCCATGCTTTTAATAAACGTCTGATTCGGGGAAAGTGAACCATATGTAGTGAAAACAATGTTTTGTTTTTCATTGCAAAATGGAAAGTGAATATGAGCAGAAATGATGATGATTAAGATCCCAAGGGAAAAAGGTGTTGCCAAATATTGCAAGCTTTGCATTAAATTTTAACCACCATGATCTAAAGAAGAAAAGGGATCATTATGAGAGTACAGCAATCAGTTGGTTGAGAATATTTTGTCACCCGTATCACATGATATGATCATTTCAATAAACCTAACCATGTCATGTGGTGACCAGTCTAATGAAATGGTCATACTCGAAGAAAAAAAAGGAAAAATAAAAATAAAAAATCCCCGAGAGATGAGCAGTTGTCAATAGAAGTGGCCCTATTCAGCCATATTGGGTTCGTTTAGTTTGAGAATTCAAATCATGTGATTCAAACTATTTTCGATTTACGTGTATTTTTATAAAAGAAAATACTGTAGCGAACCACGAATCATGATTCGAATCAGGGAACGAATCTCTCTACCAAACTCCCCCAACTGACAGCTGCAGATTACCAAAGGTCCAATTATGAAATCTGAGAATCCCAAAAATAGGAGGCTGTGGAGATGAAAAGGCCCATCTCCTTTGCTTTATAAGTCAAAGCAAAATGATTCCACAAACTTAATATTAGCGTTTTTTTTTTTTTTTTTTTTTTTGACAATTGTTGAATATACTCTTAAGTATGTGGGTGTATAAATTTTTATCCTTAATTAATACTATTTTGTTAATATAATTATTTGCTTAAAAAAATATTGATCAAGAGAAAATAAAAATCTATACTCGTACACTCTTAACAGGTACGTGTCTTCTTTACCCAACAATTTTATAGTAGGATGTTAAAAATAAAATCTACCGGTGGTTTTAAACTATCAATTCATATCAAATTGCAAATTCCGCTCTATTCTCTAGGGCCTCAAGAATATAAGAGTTTTACAAACGGTTGAAAAATGTGCCTATCATAGTCTTTTTCTCACGCTCGGAAAGAATTCTTCAAATGTTTTTGCTGAAATTCATTCATTTTGTTTTTGCTAAATTTTACTGTGTGAAAAAAGAAATTGACCGTACTATATATATATATATATATATATATACATACATATATATATATAGCAAGAAGATATTAGAAGGAATGTACATATTCAAGTTAATAATTACCAGGTTAGGTCTCCGATGTTGTCCTCTCTTCTATCCTACTTTTGTTGTGACTTGCGACAAACCTTCCTGTTATGATCTTGTTCTTTTCTCGGTCAGCTAGGTAGAAGCTCTATGCACTGCATGTTTACTTGGCCTGTGAATCAAAGATGAGAAAAAAAATATATATATGTGCTCCGCAATCCATACTTTGAAGGAAAATTTGTTAAAATCACTAGCCAAAAGACAAGTCCACGGACATGACGGAAGCTTTAATAAATGGAAAACTTTGCAACCACACAAAAACATTGCAAAAAGTTTGGCAAACTTTACACAGCATTCAGCGGTTGGAATATCATGTAAGATCAAATTTTCAGCAAAAGCTGAAAAGTCGAACAGCAAGAACTTATGTTTTACAGGACAGAAGTATGGAACCACAAGTGACATAATTCTTGTACATGTAAACAAGATGATTAAAGGCCAAATCAGAAAGTTTCAGAATGAACTCCTAAATTTTCTACACCAGATGCTCAAAGACCCAGTCCAACAGTACGGCCATCTCTTCTCCGCAGCCCCGCAGTGTACTGCTTCTCTAAATCCAGCTGGAGTTCCCTCTGCTTCTCTGCTTGAAGAAGGTCGCTGCCACTTTGGTTTTCGGGTTTGTGATCTGCTTTCTGATCGGCCTTCACACCCTACAATTGGCCATAGGCACCAATGCAACCTCAGACTCTAAAAATTGTGTCAGTAGGTGAAGAAACTACTAAGGGAGTAAGCTGAGTCATTCAGGAACAAGTAAAAAACGCGCAAAAAGATTTTGCTGCTGTCTGATAAGTTTTTAGTCATGTTGACTACATATAATTCGAACACTGCACATAAGGGAGATTTACCATGAGTTTATTGAATTTTTCTTGCCGTTCCCGGTCTGAAAACAGAGTACTATCCCAGCGGTGCCCAGACTGCAAAAATTGAAAAGATCGTATCTTTTAATTTATAACAGAGCAGCCATTAGCAAAAACAAGTAGCCTACGTGCACTTTATAACAATTATGATGGCACAACTTAAATTCTTTCTTTTGATGCTATAACTTATTTTTGGCCAAGGCATGTTGCTCAAAACATCAAAGCTTGTAATTCTCTGTGGTATGAAAGACATGAATAGCCATCAGTTTTATTTTTATGCCGTTCCAAAGAAAATCTAATTGTGCCATAGCTGTAAACTTCAGATATGATTCGAGGGGAAAAAAAAAAAAAAAAAACAGAAAAAAAAAAAGAAGAAAAAAGAAGAAGGCAAATAAATCATGGGACATACTTCTTCAGCAATTGTAGTCTTTTTGTTTCCCCACAGCAGCTTTTTCTTTTGGTCAGCAGTCATAAATCCTGTTCCGACCCCTCCAACAAGGTTCTTATTAACTGTGACATGCCAAAACAACCTCAAAAATGAGTATGATTTAAGAATCTTTTCCCAAAAGAGTTGGAATATCAATTAACAAATTGTTCTATCAGTTGATAGCGAGACTCAGTTTCAGGCATATTCAATGCTCCAACAATTCAGTGAAAGTGAATAAGTAGTTGAATACGATAGTTAATATCTAATTCATAACAATTATAACGATCATCACCATTCTCATCAAAGAGAGGTGAAGAAATGATAATGAGGCAGATATGAGCATCTGCCAATGCAGGAAGGATATCCAAATATGCTTCTAAGATCTAACTGGATACTACTTTTAAGTTTTCAGTTTCATACACTAGCAGTCTGGCTCACTTGCAGCACAAACATTTGCACAATGAAAAGTCATTTCACAACTATACCAATAGGAAAGAACTGAAAACCTGTATGTCATTGAGGTTCTTTGCGTATGAAATTCAAAATAAATAAATAAAAGCGACATTACCACAAAACACCAGAGCCTGGAGAGAAGTTACCATCAAATACAACCATAAGCAACCTAATGATCACATGCTAATGGAACCAGCTAATGCAAAATAATCAATAATTCACCCATTCTACTGTTGTATGGAGCATTATTTCAGATAGAGTTACACGTACCCGATTCAGCAGCTTTCATTGCAGCAACTTTTGCAGCATTCAGATCATTAGCAAAGTTGGAGACATTCACCTGGTCCTCACCTGCTGTCAGTTTATGATCCGGCGGTTGCTGGGGACTAGACTCCTTTACATCAGCAACAGTCGAGAATTTTGAAACTAATCACGGGAAAATGAGTTCAAAATGATGTTTAAACAAAAAACCCATTATAACTTTATAAACCATCATAGAAAGAAATAAAGGACCTTTTTTCCCTGCATCAGTGTACTTATCCAAGCTAAACTTTTGCCTTTTGGAAAGAAATTCTTGGTTTTCGCTCCCAATAACTGATTTTTCCCCAGACTGTTCTGCAGGTTCTCTAATGTACTGATCATTGCTCCTATTGGTTTCTACATCATCATATTTCTTTTTTCCTTCTTTGGTGAGGCATTGACCATCAATTTCTTTTGCCTCATTCTTATAACATTCTTTAGCACGATTCCTTGAATAAAAGTCAATTGAATGCCCCTTGACCTCTTCTCGATCACCTCTATAATCTCCTGAACTCCTACGGAAATCCCTCTTATCATCTTGACCATCCTTTTCCATTCCACGCCTCTCCCTTTCAACATCTTCAGGATGTGGATGTCTCTTGCCAGATTTGGCCTTATCAAATGATGAATCCCTATCATTATATTTGTGATGCTCTAGAGATGAGGTTTCCCTTTCTCTGTCTTTGCTATTATACAAATAACTATCATATCTATCACGAGAGTACTTGCCCCCATCTCGCAAATGGTCCCTCAACTTGCTATGGTCAATATGAGTGCCACCTTTTGATTCCCACCCAGAACGAGAAGATAACCTACGATGATTTCTTTCTTCGTCATCTGCATGCTTGTCGTGTTTGCTGTAATCATCATGCCTGGAGTATCTATGTGAACTCCTAGAAAACTGTCTGTCAGAATGTCTATAGCTATCACTACCCCTACCGTAGTGACTCCTGTATGAATCCCTGTCTACTTCCTTGCCATCGTCCTTCCGTCTTGATTGACTTTCATGGACTCTTCTAGGATCTTCCCCCGTCAATTTTGGGCTAGCACTACGCTCACGCTCAGGACTCCCTGCAAACAAAGAAAAGCTATATAACCACCAAACATAGAATCAGTCAGAAAATTGACGAACACACTAAAAAATTGCACTAAAATTTATGGTATTAATGAGATATGCTAGAGCAGCTACAAAGTAAATACTTTGTCGTCATTCAATGAATCAATTTGGCCAAAAAACCAAAAGAACAGTAACCAAAAAGAAAGCAACTCTATTCTCTGGATGCAAGATAACTTAAACAGTAGCAACGTAAGTGACGTGCTCCAAGAAAACAGTCCATCTACAGCCAGTGGTGTTCTGGCACTGTGTGAAATAGTACTTTCACGACACAAGCAATGTGTGCACTTACTACATTTCTTTTGGAAAAACTAAAAACGCATCAAAAGAATTGTTGCACCAAGAAGCATGTGCCAAAATCAGGGTGGCAATGACAAGTATGCTCCTCTACAAAAAGGAGAAAGGCAAAATCATATATGAAAGGGGAATTTTCACTGTTGAGGCCCATTACGGTGTAAATTTCATATTACAACCTCAAGAAGTGTTGTATAGGCTAGAAATTACCTTAAAAGGTATTAGATTCAAAAGCTTAAACAACACGAATGCCTAATTAACTAAAAGTGATATAGTATGATGAAGTTGTGTACCAAAAGAACCACCCAACTAATCACCTGTAACATACCAAAACTCAACAGAAAATTTTTTGAGATTCCAGGACATGAATTCTTTGATTCCCTAATCAATTATAAAAGTAACAAAATTTTCAGCAATTCGTTGATATCTACAAAATACATCGCCTTTGAATCTGGAAAAAAGGGCAAAAGGATATGGAAACCTGAACTTAGTCATTGCAGAGGGATCAAATAGATCATTACCATGACTATCCAATTCTGATTCTAAGATATAAGGGTGTGTTCTTTTCACAACACAAATCACAACTTAACTTTTTTTATGTAAGAGAAAAACAAAAGTGTAGCAAAAAAGAATTTGAAGTTTTGTGAGAGAAAATATTGTAACAAAAAAGTTTGAGTTGTGATTTGAGTTGCGAAAAGAACAAGGCCTAAATCTTTACCGCAAGTAATACTATACTGCATAGTGAACCTTGCAAGTCAGAATTCTACCTATTGGACAAACAATGTTGCTAGTGAAATTTTCAAGATCATTTCCCACAACAAATCTGAGTGCAAGGTCTCCCAAGGGCCTAAGGTTGCACCTTATATGATCAATCCTTCTTCTTTCAGGGCAATGTAATGCAATCTCCAAAATAGTTAAATTTTACATCCCAACTTCTTATCTTTGGTGGAAAATTTTTTACCATTCCAAAAGTTCTGATAGCACCTACTAAACTGTCTTTAACATAATTATATCCATTCTAATGTACCTAGCTGCTACAAAAGCATGGATCTTCAAAGAGAATCGACATTTACAGAATAAAATTAACAGAGTAATGACACGCAAAATTTACGTATCCCAAATTTTACACCAGAATTAGATAACAAAATAGATATCAGCAAAAAAGGAAAAAAGAATAGTTCAACCAATCATACTAGATACAGAGCAGACAAGAAATAAGCCCCTACCAATTATTAATATGCTAAGCAATTACTTACTACTTTCTTCCAGGGTAGCTATCAGAGCCTATTTTAGCTCCTTCAAAGATAAACCCAATTGAAAAACTAACCATCAGATTGTGATCCGCTAACAGGAGAATGACGCCGATACTTCCTGTTGGTCGCATCAGTTGTAGGTTTGCGAAATGCTGGTTTTACATCCACATTATCTTGATTCGGAGATTGCAAGTTAGAATCCATGGTATCTAACAACTGGCAGAAGCAACATCATTAGCTTAATAATGATTAAAAAAAATGGCATAACTAAACTAAAACTGAATCCACGGTGTTTTAGTTTTACTACCAACCAACTCCGCACACGCATAAAAATCGAGAGAAAAACCCTGAGGTTGCTGAAAAGCAAAAGCAGTGTCAATAAAGGATAAATCTACAAGAAATGTTAGGAAGTAGGAACTAACACAACCTTTTAGTGTCCTATAATCAACCTATGGACTTAAGGGTATGAACATTATTTCTCATGGAAAAATAATCTTCTCCGACTTAAAAAGTATATATAAGCCTCAATCAGAAATCCAAAATCTAAATTTTCCACACTAATAAAGAAAAGAATTAAAAAAATAAAAAATAAAAAACATATTGGTTCAACAAAGTTGCTTCATCATGAAACGACGAACTAACCTCAATAAATCCCTCCCAAATTGTCAATCCCATGAACCCTAAACGTAAATTTTGAAACTATACCAAAATACTCCGCCTTAATCTGTGTAGTTTTGGGGTTGAAAAAAAATAATAACAAAATAAAAAAAATTAATCAACGCAGAAAACATGAACCCTATTCTAATTTCTACGGTGTTTTCTGGGCAATCAAATTCAACAAAAAAAGACAACGAATCTAGGGTTTCTAACACAGACCACAGGGAAAAAAATTTTGAAATGAAAAAAAGAAGGAAAAAAAAAAGGGGGAAATTGGAGAAGAACTATTCGCACCTGTTTGAGAAGCTTTAAAGGAAACGATTCATTTAGTAAAGACAATTGCTCGGTTTTGTGGATTTTGGTCTGAGAAAATGGGAAACCTGGTTCTCGCCCTAAAGTGGGAGAATGACTCTTTTGGGCTTCTAAAAAAAATTCTCAAGGCAATGATATGACACGAATTGAGACGGTCCCAGGTCGCACGTGTCAAATGCGTAAAGGCCCGTTCGGTTCACTAATTCGAGTTGAGATGTGATGTTGTGTGAGAGCTTTTTACTGTAGCCAAAAAGTTAAATATAACTGTTTCTGAGAGCTTTTTACTGTAACAAAACTCGAATCAGCGAAAAGAACGGTGCCTAAATAAATTCTTTTTTCTAACCTCACTACTCAGTGAATAATCCGTATATTAAATTATAGCCACCGTGTTATTATTAAAAATATATAAAATTTGAATATAAAATCTTAAAAAGAAGCAAAATAGGAAAAAAAAATAAAATTTTAGGGTAAAAAGTAAAGAAAGAGATAAAAATGATTAAAATGAATAAATAAATAATTTTTGAGATAAAAAGGACCAAAACTAAAAAATAATTAAGGTAAAAATAAAAAGGGTAAAAAAAACCTAAAATGAAGAAACTTTAAGGCAAAGGGAACCAAAATGGAAGAAAAACTTTCACGACAAAAAAGGGTTAGAAAAGGACTAAGAAAAAGAAATAGATTAGTTATAGAGAAAGTTACCATAACAAAAGAATAAAGTTTCGGGGTAAAAATAAAAAAATGAGTTTAAAAAGGACCCAAATGAAGAAATAAATAAGTTTTAGAGCAAACAAAACCAAAATGAAAAAAATAAAATAAAATTTCAGGACAAAAATTAAAAAAAAAGTCAGCAAAAGACTAAAATAGAAAAATAAATAAGGTTCTAGGATGATTAGCAAAAAAAAAAAAATAAGTGTTAGGGTAAAAGTAACCAAAAAGAGAAAAATAAACTTTAAGACAAAAGTAAAAAAAAAAAAAAAAAGGAAAAAAAATATCAAAATGAAGAAATAAATAAGTTTTAAGGCAAAATAAACCAAAATTAAAAAAATTAAAATTTTAGGGCAAAATAAGAAAGGTAAAAAAAGGACTAAAATGAAGGAAAAAATAAGTTTTAGAGCAAAAAGAATAAAAACAAACAAAATAAAGTTTTAGAGCAAAAATTAAAAAAAAAGTCAAAATAAAGGACCAAAATAAAGAAATAAATAAGTCTTAACGCAAAAGAAACCAAACCAAAAAAATAAAATAAAATTTCAAGATAAAAATAAAAAAGGATAAAATGACTAAAATGAATAAGTAAATAAATTGTCTGCTAAAAAGTAAAAAGAAAAAAAAAAGTGGATGACCTGAAAAAAGGGGTGTGTTTCGACCAAAACATGGGCGTTTTGGTCAAAACGCCCCAAACATGAAAGCACATTTTGATCTCTTATATAAAAAAAGATTAAAATTTTAGGGTAAAAATAAAAAAAAAGACTAAAAAAGGATAAAATAAAGAAAAATAAATAAATTTTAGAGTAGAAGGAATCAAAATGGAAAAAATAAAATTTTAGAGAAAAAATTTAAAAAAAAAGGTTAAAAAGAACCAAAATAAAGAAATAAATAAGTTTTAAGGTAAAAGAAACCAAAATAAAAAAATAAAATTTCAAGATAAAAATAAAAAGGGTAAAAAAAAGGACTAAAAGACTAAAATGAAAAAATAAGTAAATTTTAGAATAAAAAGTTAAAAAAAAAAAAAAAGTGAAAGACCTTGCGCAACTCGTTTGCGTTTTAAAAAAGCCAAAACTCTCTAGAAGGTTACTAATAATAATTTATCAAGTTGTTCTTAATATTAGTTTGAAAAGTTAAAATAGTCTGGTACATTATCGGTGATGTTCTATTAGATTACTCTTCAAGTATGGTCACTACTGGGTTATAATTGATTCCGGTAACATTTGGTAGATTTAGTAACAATATTCTCGTAGATTATCTTTGAACAGTGGAGATAGTTTGGATAAAATACAATTTGTTAACATTTAAAGTAACAAATTCAGTAGACGTTTAGTTCATGAGTTCAGAATCATGATTTAAAATTATTCTCGATTTACGCATATTTTTTGTGAGAAAAAATACTATAATGAGTCACGAATTGTTATCTAAATTATGGCACGAATCTTTATTCCAAACGCTTCCTCAAAAACCCAAATATGAGGGGCAAAAATCTAACCGTTCGGCCTTCTCAATTCAGAAAAAATAAATATCTGTTTTGACATTTGAGTGCTCGTTATATTTGGGTCCTTTGACCTCATTTCCCTACGAGTTATGGTTATTTATGGTTAACACTCACTTTTTCTAATTGAAATTAATTGCTGTGTTTGGAATTATTCTTATTTTTATTTTTCAAGAAAGAAAAAAAAAACGATTTCAAAACGGTTTTTGACACAGTTAAAGATAAAAAACAAAAATGAAAATAATTTTTTGCTTTAGTGTAAAATGAAAGAGAAATAAAAAACGATTTTCGTTTTTTATTTTTTATTTTTGTTTTCTCCTCTCTCGAGCAGAGAAAGAGAGACATTAATAGGTTTATTTATATTGAAAATAATCTCTTGATAAAACTACTAAACGTATTTTCAAAAATAATTTATGTATGAGATTGAAAACGTTTTCATTTATATTTTCACACAAAAAACAAAATCATTTTGAACGAATTCCAAACGCGCCCAATAACACATTTTTATGTTGCTCGTTTCATTTTCTCCTTGCGAAAAAAAAACCAGAGAGATAAAACATAGTGGACGTTTGGTTCATGGATTCAGAACCATTTTTGATTTACGTGTATTTTTTATGAGAAAAAATAATGTACCAAACCACGAATTATGATTCGAATCAGGGTACGAATCTAAACGACAATATGGTGATGAAATGGTTTTTGGACTATTATTCATTGATTCTGTGTGTGTATATATACAATTACAAAGATGATTTTAAGGAAATAAATACGGTAACAAATATGTACAGCTGTTATGCTACAGATAGACCATTGACTTATATTTACAATAAATGCCTTGAATCATGAATGATTATTTGATTTATCAGAATCCCCTAATTAAACAACCTATAAAGAAGTGTGAAATGTTCCAAAAGACACAACTCAATAATACGTGTCTTTCGAACATCAACACTTGAACCTTCCGCATCAGAATGGTTTAATCCAATATTACACAGGTATAAAAGATTACACACGAAACAAAAATGGGAAAAAAAAAATCTAACATAGTGTCTAATCGAATACTTTTTAAGAAATGCAGAAAAACTAGCTAACGAAAAGTGCTTGGTGTCAAACCAGGCGTTATCCAAGTTGGGCACCAAGTGTGAAGAAGTAGAAGTTGACACACCAAAATCAAGACCTTCAGGGCTTCTTCTTTTGAGCGAAAAACTTAAAAAAAGGTAATTCGAGTTATAATTTTATTCGAGTTTATGTTCTTTTAAGTTTAAACTCGAGTTTAAATTCGAGTTCAAACTCAAGTTTAGGACTAAAACTTGAGTTAGTTTCCCCTTCAACTCGAGTTCAGAAACTCGAACTCAAATTAATAAATAATATTTTTTCTATTCTTAAAAATGCTATAACTTTTTCGTTTTAATTCTGGTTGAGATGATTTTTTTTCTATGCGTTGACAACGAAAATACGAATAAAACCAGACTCATATACCATATTAAAATTTTTCATCAGCATTGAGTTTTTATTAAAATACTATCTAAATACAAATTCAAGTTTTGACTCACTCAAATACAAACTCAAAAAGATTCTTATCTCAAATCATAACTCAAATGTATATAACTAAACACAAACTCAAATTATAAATTAAACTCAAATTTAACTTAAAAATTATACTCAAATTAAATTTTTTGCGTTTCTATGTCGTAAATGCCAATGTCAAGACCCCGGGCATTCTGCAAAGTAGCTACCAATTGTAATCAGTAAAATGCTATTATTCCTGCAATTAACTGTGCTTGCAGAAAAAAATGCTCCATGAGGTGTTGTTGCCAACGAAAAAGGCCTTGTCCCTAATACTAAGCCCCGGGGATTGAACTGTTAAAGAAATTATATTTTCTAATAATAATTATAGATCACGTATTTATAATAATTATATTAACGCTATTTAATTAATTAGATTAATTAAGTGATTTAATTGTAGAGAGTTTAATAATTTTTTAACTGAGTATGAACTAAATGAATAAATACTTAATATTGACCTAATTAAGTTTAATAAGAACATAATGGGACAATATATAAAAAAATTTATTATAAAAAATTATGAAATATTTTGGCAGGTTGTGAAAGTAGTTTTCTCCAAATTCCCACTTCACTCACAAATATTTTGAGAGACGTGCAATTTTGAGTTAAATGACACGTGAGAGGCATGAGGAGAATGAAATTTTAGGGAGTTTATTTTATATGTATTTATATATATATATTTCCTCCTTTTTTTTTGAGATGTCTCTGAAAAGTAACTTGTGTGGATTGCTAACCCAAACCCATTCACCATCTCCTAGTACCCGGGTAAAGGCCAACAAATTTACCATGACAAGGAACTTGTCAATCTTGATCTTGAAGACAAGGATCTTATGTATCGTGTGGAATCGGTTTCCTCTAGATGAATTGTGGGGGGAAGGTGGGAGATTGACGCACACTTGTGACATGGGATTCATATAATATTGATAGTAATAGTCTATTCGATGGACAAAGAAAATAGAGATTTTCTTTAAGAGAGATGGCCGATTGGTTGATAGCTCCGGTCTTGAAAACGGGTATAGCTCGAAACAAAGAACTATCAAGGTTTGAATCCCTCTCTCTCCTTTTTCTTAGTGACTAAGTTGAGCATCAAGTTCACGGTCAACAGTTACAAGCCAGCCATGTGGAGATCCCCAAATGCACCTTCCTACACCCGCCGGTAGTTCTATTACAAAAACTGCTGTTATTGTGGAGATTGAAGGAGGACC